ACAAGCACCCGTGTAATACACGGGTGTTGTACTAGTTAATCAATAGAACATAGAAAATAAATATATAGATACATATTTGTAGATTTAATATAAGTAAATAGCAATAAATGATTGTAGTATGCATAATTACATACAATAGAAATAGATACCCAAATAAAAATAGATACCCAATTATATTTGCAGACCTAAAATTATTTGATAGAATACAAAAATCATATAAACCTTAAAATTACCCACCAGGACATAAAAATATAATAAAAAATAAAAAAATTATGGGCGACGTCTCCATATCTATGGCGCAAGATTGTAGAGCTTTGTTGGAGCTCAAAATCAGCGCCACTGACTTGTGGCCAGGTTTGTAAACGAGCTGAGTTTGAACCTTTAACGAGTCGAGCCGAGTTTGGCTCGTAAAATAAATGAGCCAGAAATCGAGCTCGAGTTCGACTCGTTTATCACTATTAAAGAGCCGATTTCGAGATTTAACGAAGATAAGTATTTATATTATATAAAAATTCTCTTTTCGAGTCTTATCGAGCCGAGTTGTTAACCAATCAAGCTTTAAATGAGCTCGAGTTCGACTCGTGAAGGTCTCAAGCTAGAGCCTAACTTAAACCTAAACTAGCCGAGCTCGAGCCAAACTCGAGTCGAGTTCCAGCTCAGCTCTAGCCAGACTCATTTAGTTTAACATCACTACTTGTGGCAATGGGAAGGAAATGAAATTTTCGTGCTCCTTCCAATCCAATCATTATAAAGTCCAACACTAGTCAACTATCCAAAGAAGAAAAGGAAAAGAAAACCAAACAAAACAAATTTACAAAACAAAACAAACACTAGTCAACACTCTCGAACAAACGAAAAGGAAAAGAAAACAAAAAACAGTTATCAACGTGAGAAGCCCCAAAACTAAAGGACCTCCCTCCACACACCATTCAACTAAAAATACCTACCAAAATAAAAAGAACCATCAAAACCTACTTGCTCCCGTTTTGCCACATTAAATCTCATCAAAAAATAAAAACACAAGTATCTGAAAAAAACGCACCTCGTTTGATCTCGCGCGCGAAAAAGGCGGCACCACCCTTCCGCGGCGGCCCGAGAGGCGGTGCCCACCACCCTCCCCGCCGTGGTTTGTATATTTTTCCATATAGTTTTCCCTTTCCATCTCTGCATCAATCCACAAAATAGTAACAATAAGCAGCAAAAAGTTAGCTATATAACCCATGATGAAAGTTGCGAAGAACATGGGAGAGTCCCTGCCCGGGACGAAGGCCATAAATATAATCCCACGGACACGGTCGCCGCCGCTTACATCATCATCCTCGTCATCATTATCGTCTTCTCCTCCGTTTTCCTCGTCATCATTATCCACAGACGAGAAAAACGAGGATTTGTTGCGGCTCGAGCACGCGCCGCCCTTCTGGCGGAATAACGATAATAATCCCAACGCATGTGGGGCCCGCAAGAAGCTCTCGAAACAGCTGTCGTTGCGTGAGATCCCGCGCGACATGGCGTGGGAGCGCCGCCGCCGCCAGTTCCTCTGTCAGGAGCACCGAAGGAGCAACATTAATAATAATAATAATAATAATAATAATAATAATAATAATAATAATAATAATAATAATAATAATAATAATAATAATAATGTGGGGGAAATGATGACCGATCACGATCTCACGGACGAGGACTTGAGTGAACTGAAAGGGTGTATAGAGCTGGGGTTCGGTTTCAACGAGGAAAATGGGCAGCGGCTCTGCACTACAATCCCGGCCCTTGACCTGTACTTTGCAGTCAACAGGCAGTTCTCAACGAGCCCGGTTTTGAGCCCGAACAGTAACGGTAGCTCGTCAAACGTAGGGGGAAGCCCCATGAGTGACTCCGAGTCCAACTGGAAGATTTGTAGCCCGGGTAAGTCTTTTATGGTCCTTGCTCACGATGTTTTCTTTTTTCTTATTTTTTCGCTCGTCATGAAATAGGATATGGTAAATTTAAATTTTTTTTGTCACGTATGCATGGTAACATAACGATTCCCTATTGTTAGTTTTCCCTACTCTACACCAAAATCATAATGATGATACTATATATAGTTTTGAAGATGGAACTTCATGAATTGTTAACGTCTATAGGAACAAATTCATGTAAAATGTAACTATCATTTCATGTAGTACCCATTAGTTAGATCGGTTTTGGATATTACATATAAAAAATAAAAGGTCGAACGGAAATGTTTGTTATGAAGTAAAAAATATAGAACACAAGCTAAAACCTTGGTACTTCAGTTTTTTCCTTCTAGGTTTTCTTTAGTTTTGCCTTGGGTTTTCTTTTTAATTTTTGAGTTTTCTAGTTTTGTATCACCTTCCTAGTGGGTTACATAAGCAACCCAAGACTCAGAAACTAGAATCGAGGGGTCTTTATTATATTAGTTCACTATATTTCAAAGGTATTTCTGTTCGACATTCTGCAGAATAGAAGAAAAAACAATTTGCATAAGAAAATTTGTAAGAAAGGCTCATGATAGAAAGAACTGTAGAATTGCTGAATTGCTATTAAGCAAGTCTAAGGACAGGCATACTTTATCAACAAATATACATACTTTTCATCTTAAAATGTCAATACTTCAAGAAACATAAACAAAAACATGATAATTTACAGTATATTATGTTATGTCATCTTATGTATGTGCAGGTGATGATCCTGAACATGTGAAGACAAAGCTGAGGCATTGGGCACAAGCAGTAGCGTGTTCTGTGAGGCAGTCTTCTTAAAAGGGATGATCAAATCATGAATTGTACAGTGAAAAGAGAACACACACATATACACCTATAGAGAGAGAGAGAGAGGACCTTTTTTTTTCTATGTAATAATCCATGAAAACGTGTAATGAAAAGCTTCCTAAATGGATCGAGGAGAAAGGCTAGAGGGGTAACTAATTAAGAGGTCAGGTAGGTTTCTTCCTTTTCTGTTATTTTTTTTTTTTTTTTTTTTTT